AATTGTCATCATGACCATTAATCACAACCATCCTAGTTCCCTAGGTAGAGCAGGAAAGGAACGACGGAGCAGTGGTGGGGGTGATGAAGCCATTTTCAAAGGGTTTGCTTCTAATACAATCCTTAGAAAACATCAAACTGCGGCCCATTTCTTACAACCTAATGAATCTGGCCAACTCTGGAAGAGATTTTTTCTCTCCTCTACAAAAACTCATGAATAGGTTTTTGTGGGGTGTTTTTTGTTAAGATGTTAAGGAAAGTGCATCTTGGACTCGCCTGTATGTATGTTTGTGTGTGTTTTTTCTAGACATCCCTAAAGCTTTATTGTGTCCATTACTCAATTATCCTATATAATAAAGAGCTAATATGCCCTGATCATCACGCCCTCACACCGAGGCTGAGAAATGGAACGAGGTGCACTCTAAGAACCTTTCCCAGGGTGGATGTTCTCTGACTCTGTGTGCTACAATATCAAAGGGACACCACCCCCAGCCAGGCATTCTTGCTACCACACTCTTGAGAGGGCAGAATACGCTGCAGAAGAGCCCCCAGAGCCCAGGGCCCGAGGAGAGGGGAGAGGGTGAGGGTTCTTAGGGCCGGTAAGGGAAGCCAGCTGGGGGTTGTCATGGAGACACAGATACTAATACACACACACACACACACACACACACACACACACGCACACACACACACACACCGTGGGTGCCTGCGTAGTCCGTTAGCATTTATAAAACACACACCCTCGTCCATGATATCCACAACCCTTTCATTCCAGACACGCAGGGGCCCAGGACCAGGGGGGCAAATGGTACATGAGACATCGCTGGCTTCCAGGAGACTCCCTGGGGAGAGAAAGGTGGTCAATGTTTGGACTGGGTGGGCTGGGGCATGATCTGGATAGGAGCAGCTTGGACAAGCGCCAGGGAGAGAGGGAGACAGGGAGACAGACAGAGAGACAGAGCATGTGGAGTGTGGTGTTTGAAGGGGTTGGCAGGTAGAGCTGGGCCGGGTTCCATTAGGTAGGGCCACGGTAAGAGGCCTTACCCTGAGGGTACAAAGAGTCCTGGGAGAGGTCAAGGTCACACAGAAGGGGCACACTGTCAGATTTGAGTGCAGACCACCACTTGAGGGGGAGGAGAGGGACTTGGAGGAGGCAGGAGGGGCAGGAGGCCCGGTTAAGAAGCCACAGCAGCTGTCGGGGGGCTGGGCCTGGGGTGGTGGTGGCCCTGGTGTCACAGACTGGGAACATGCCAGTGGATCACCACCCTACTTGCCCCTTGAGGAAACGGAGGATTTCACAGGTGAGGCAATTGCCCGAATTCATCAGCTTTTCTCCCCTCCCTGAGCTGCCCCTTCAGGACCCCACACAGCGAGCTCTCCTGAACGCCCCATGCACTCCAGTTCTGAGTGTGTAACATGTATGAGTTCATTTAACTTTCCCAAGAACCTCAGCAGGTAGATGTTCTTCTTATTTATTATTCCGATGAGGAAACCGCTGCACGGAGCGGCTAAGTCATGTGCCTAAGATCACATGGCTGGTGAGTGGCAAAGTCAGGATTACTCAGGCAGCTGCAGCCAGAGGTGCCTGGAACGTTTAAGCTCCCTGAAAGGTGTGTGGGGGATGGGAGCTTCCGGGACGGGAGAGGTGAAGAGATAGATGTATGTGCATGTCCTCCAAAGCACCGAAGTAATCCAGACAGAGGAAGCACCCAGACCGGAAATCCCGGGAGCTAAGCTTTGGGTTCAGCTCCGCCCTACATTTGCTGTGTGACCTGGGGTTACCCACACCCCTCTCTGGGCCTAGCGTTTTCTCACAGGAGGCATACACACAGATCTGCTGGGTCCCCCCTCCCAGCTCTGCTTCTCCCCTCGCGCCCCCCCCCCCCCCCCAGGCACTCTGGGAGACTGAGGCAGGGGGTGCGGGGCTGGAGATGGGGGTGCACTGTGGAATGGAGAGGAGGAAGGGATGGACGAACCCTTCTCCAAAGACAAAGTCTATTGCAGAATATCCTGCCTCCCCACTCCCACCCCCACCCCCTCTAGGCCTGAGTGTGTGTTTGGGGGCAGTAAGCCCCACCCACGCTGCTTCCCGGAGCCTGCAGGGACCAGGCTCCCACAGCTCTCCAGAGACCAGGCCCTGCTTAGAAGGTGTCTCCTTCGGGCTGAGGCACCAGCTATGTGGGTGGGCCGGGGGAAACCAGTTAGCAGGGGCACCGAGCCTGGGCGAGGGAGAAGGAAGGCAAGTCCTGCCACCACGTGTGGCAGTAGCCCAGGCTCTCCTGCCTGGGACTTGTGTCCCCATCTGTAAACTGAGGGGCTGGCACTGGACCCTCAGGCCCCACGGAGAAAGGCAGCCACAGGGCCTGTCCCTGGCACTGGAGGCCACCCAAGGACCCCAGGGAGGTCCTCCGCCTCCAAGCAGGGCAGGTCTGGGAGGCAGAACAGCTGTGAGGCTGATGGCTCTGGTCCCGAGGTTAGCCCTGCAGCACAGGCTGTCCCCAAGGGGCAGGCCACTCTCGCAGAGCCCGCCACAGCTAGCGCCTAGGAGGAGCCCAGAGGACAGCACATGTGAGCATCGGTTTCTCCCTCTGAAAAGGGGGGATAGCGAACACTGCACAGAGGTTCTTGTGAAGAGAAGACGCACAGAAGACCCCCAGCACACAGGAAGGGCTCACACCCCGTTATCATTATCCACTTGAAAAGATTAAAAAAAAATCCAGTGGCTCCCAGTCCATCCCCAAGTAGCACAGCCCAGCTCTGCTCCGTGCCCAGGACCAGGGCCTGGGAGGGGCAGAGCAGCAGAGGGAGCTGTGCCTCCCAGGAGGGCCAAGCCCAAGGGTGAACGAGTGCAGGGGTGAAAGGAGTCAGGGCCGCCTGGGAAACCCGGACAGTTTTCCGTGATAAACTGGTCCAGAAGGCTTCGGTCTAGAAGGAAATTATGTCCGCTGCCTGGTGGGCACCTCTGAGAACCTGGCAGATGGGGAAGGGATGCCACGACCTGGTCCGCATGCAGCAGACCCCGTGGCGGGAAGCAGGAGGCCCGGTCACATCCCAGCATCCATGAGCACCCGGCTTGACATAAGCACTTGCCCCTTCAGGCCTCAGCTTCCCCACCGCCCTTCCAGCCCGGGCCCTGTACTGGTAACAGATGACGGGCACTGATGATGAAACAGGTACTACGTGATGTGCTTAATTCTTCCGATTCACACCTCCTCCTCAGCTGGGAATAATCTTACTCTCTGAACACCGAGGCACCTTAAGAAGTCTCTGAAGTCACCCTGTCAATGCTAGAGCTGGAATCTGAATGCAGGCACATGTGTCTGAAGACTCCCCTCTCCTGCCTCCTCTACACAATGGATGCCTCCTGCTTTCTGCCACCCCTATGGCACTGTCCCTTTGCTCCTGCCCCCTCTGCCACTCCTCGCCTGTCAACTTGCCCGAAGTACCGAGTCTTCCCGGGAGGCCCCCGCTCCTTCCTCAGCTCCCCCACGGAACTGGCTCCTTGTTCAGTCTCGCCTGGGATCCTGCTGAGTGAGCCCGGGGTGCCTCCATGGACCCACACCAAGGGCACACCAGCGAGGCAAGGCATCTGGATGAGCATCTTCAGGGCAGGGTTCGGTGAGGGGCCCTGGCATGCCAGCTGTCAGCAGTAACCAACACTCCTGCGCCTTCCTATGTGGACAGGAGGGACAGGGGTGGGGTCTGCTGGCAAATCACTTCCAGAAACGAAGTGAAATGAGACATTTCTTTGGACACAGTGGCTCTGACCCCCACCTCTTGGCATTCACACTCCTGTGTAGCCTCTTCCACGTTAGCAGGAATGGCCTGGGTGACCAGCAGAATAGGCAGGAGTGATGGAATGTCACTTCCGAGATGCGGTTGTAAGAGGTGACAGCTCTGCTCTTGGTCTCTTTTGGGTCGTGTGCTCCTCCGGGGGAAGCCATCTCCCGAGAGGCCAGATGGAGAGGCTTCCATGGTGAGGCCTCAGCCAACAGCCCCAGGAATAAGCTTGGAAATGGGTCCTGCAGCCCCCTCTCAACCTCAGACCACCACCACCTCCCGAAACCCCGAACCAGAGCCACCCGGCCGAGCTGCTCCCACGTCCCCCGAGCAGAGACTGTGTGAGATAATGTATGTTAGCTGTTTCAAGCTGCAAAGTTTTAGGACAATTCATTACGCAGCAACAGAGAAGCCACGGGACTTCTCGGAGCATTTACTACGCTGTGTAACTCTCCGAGGAGGATGTACTGTACAACGTAACACTCCCCTTCTTATTCGGCCAAGGCGGCTTTCCTTCTGAATCTTCTTCATCAGAGGAAACTGATGGGACATGGCTCTGGGCCTACAGGGAGATGCAACTTCTAACCTAGATCTGCCTCGTGAGTGAGCCATCCCCTCCAGAACCTCAACTCGTCCCTGTAATGGAGTGAAAAGAAGCCACCTGCCTTTGCATACCTCACGAGTGTACCCAGGTGGGCAGACGCTGAGCTGCTCAGAGGCGGGTGGGAGGGCGGCTCGGGGAGGCCCTATGAGGAATATTACCCGGGGTTCGACATGGTGGGAAGTGAGCCTAAGGCCACCACCTGCTTCCCCCTCAGAGTGAGAAGTGTTCTGGCCTGTGTGTGCTCAGAGACGGGAGGCGTGGGCCCGAGTCTCCACCATCCGACTGGACGTTCCTCTGGGCCAGCGCAGGCACCTCCATCATCCGTCTGGGATGGGGCCCCAACACTGCCCCCTTTCCCTCCTCCTCCCCACCCTGTGGACACACCACAGCCACGGGGAAGAAGGAACAACGGAATTCCTGTGGTCTTAAAAGCAAGCATGCCCTTCCTCCCTTTTCAGTTTATCCCCGCTACTCTTTACCTGGCAAAGGGATCGGTCCAAGTTCAGGATGTCTGATGGGCCAGAAACCCACCATGCATGTCCCTCTCTGTTACAAAGAAGACAGTTAAAAAAAAAAAAAAAAAAAAAAAAAAAAAAAAAAAAAAAAAAAAAACCTATAATGCGAATACTTTATTATCAATGAGTGACTGGTATTAGCATTTTGTCTAGGCATTAATATTTCAGAAACCATACACCAAACCCAGGCTTTTCCACCTAGCTCTGCTGTATCGTTTTCTTAAAAAAAAAAAAAAAAGAAGAGGGAGGAGGAGGAAAAGAAAGAAAATATATCTGTATTGAAAGAATTATAAGCCAAAGTGCGTCTTTCTTGTTTTGTCCATATACACACATTGCACCATACATAAATAATTACATTGTAAAAATGACTCCATAATTACAAGTATAATATATATTTCCATATAATATATAAAACTTTATATTAAATCTAGGTAGATGATATTTGGGGGGGTTTCGTCCGTGGGGGCTGTGTCTCTGGCACGGGCCCTCCCTGGCGGCGGCCGCTATCTGTGGTTGTTGAGCAGGATCTCCAGCCAGCAGGGGCAGGAGGTGATGAACTGCCGCGAGTAGCAGGGCCCCCAGCCCTTGGCGAAGCTGATGCGCACGCTGTTGGGGTCGTAGGGGCCGTCGGCGGCGTCGGGCTCGGGCCCGTGCTGGAGCAGGCCCGAGCGCTCGAAGTCGAACACCTTGATGGAGTAGCCGGGCGGCACCTTGCGCACCACGAGGGTGCGGCCGCCGGGGGCGTCCAGCGTCGGGGAGTTGACGAAGATGGGGTGCTCGCCCCGGTTGTAGGCCCACACGCCGTCGGGCTCCTTGCTGAGCAGGATGCCGAAGCCGATCTTGCTGCGCGTCCGCTGCACCGACTCGCTGCGCTGCTCCAGGTTGAGCTGGCCCAGGCAGAAGCCGCTGCCCTGAGGTAGGTCGTAGAAGATGCTGACGGCCTGGTCGTACACCGCGTAGAGGCGGCCCACGCGCGTTCGGTGCTCCCAGTAGGCCACGCTGCACCAGTGGCTCGGCTTGGTGGCGTCCGGAGACATGCTGGCGTCTGCGGGGCAAGCACAGGGCGAGGGGTGTCAGTTATTCGGGCTGGGGTAGCGGGGGCGGAGGCGGCGCTCCTGCCTGGCCGGTGGGGGCTGGGGTGTGTGTCTAGCGGTCAACACAGACGTCAGCAGCACGTACTGTGTGCCAGGCTGTCCTCGGAAGTTTAACACACAGGAGGGCACCGCCCCCTACACACACACACACACACACACACACACACGCACACGCACGCACACACACACGCACACGTGCTCGCGCACACGCACGCACACGCACGCGCGCACACGCGCGCTCGCACACATGCACACCACACACACACACACGCACGCTGCAGTCTGCCTTGAAGCGCAGCCCCATCCTCGCTGCTCTCCTGTGGGGGCAGCTTCTCAGATTCAGAAGCCCTGTAGCATCTGCTCTTTCCCTTTGAGCTCACAGCTCTGAGGAGCAGGTGGGCACCCAGGATGCCTAGCCAGGTGGCATGTCCCCACCCGGGCCCTGGCCGGGGCTTTCGCTCAGAGGGAGAATTCTGCTGGAGGCCTGATGAGAACACAGCAAAGGCGCTCGCTCTATGGCTCCAGTTCTCCAAGAGACACTGACCAAAGTCCAACTAAACCGGAGAAAAAACCCTGCTAACAACCTCACCAAGGAGCCCGAGCGAGGTCAGCTCTGACAGTCAGCTCAGCCCTACCCACAAGCCCCGGGCAGCAGGGTGACAGGCCCCCTGACACCTCCTCCACCCAGCTACCCAGCAGGAAGCTGTCTGCCTGAGGGGCCTCCCACAAGCTGCCGGCTCTGCGGCCTTGTGCTGGGCACAGCCCCAAAGGGCAGGCCCCTCCTTCTAGGACTGGCTTCAGGTCCCAGCCCAGCTCCTGAGGCAGCATCGTTTTACCTCACACCCTCCGTCCAGGGCCCGCATGGGTCCAGCCGATTGTCACGTGAGTTAAGAGGCCCTACTCCCTGCCCTCGCTGACCTGCCCCTTAGCCTGCAGACAGACAACTCGATCCCATAGTGAATGACCAAGCTGTGGGCACGAGGCCAGTCCCAGCAGGTGGGCAGCCAGGAACACCCAAGCCTTTGCCCCTCTCCATCCATCCACCCACCTGCCCATCTGGCACTGGTTGGGAGTTCCCGAGCACCATCCCAGCCTGGCCATCAAACTCCAGCACTGACCTACCTCCTCACCAAGCAAAGAATGTCATGGTGCTCTCGGCAGAAAGAGGTGGAGAAGCAAAGAAGCTTTGTCTGGAGAACTCTGGGCAACAGGACAGGCAACAGGAACCCCTCAGTGCCTTCCGTGAGCTGGGTGCCTTCTGCACAACAGCCCTGGTTCACCCCTGTTATCACCCCATTTCATAGGCACAGCAACTGAGGCCCGGGGAGGGTGCCCTCACAGGCGGAGGGCACACACTGTTGAGTCCTGTAGCCAGCATCAGTTCCAGGCTGGAGTGCTTCTCCACACCCCAGGCAGACTCCCCCCTAAATCCCATGCACACTGAACAGGTCCCCCCCTCCCCTAAGCCTCAGTGTCCCTATCTGTAACCGTGACTGTTCTCATGGTCTGTGTGTCCCAGAGGTGCTTACCCACAGTCTGTGAGTCACTCCGCCCCGCCTCCAAACAAAGTCCTTCCCTCCCCAAGGACTCCCAGCAGTGTCACCGTGCAGGATTCCTGCCACCCCCTTTCCCAGATAAGGCTCAGGAAAAGCCACCTCTGCCCCAGGGTGAACTGCTCCATTGTACAAGAGAGAGAAGAGGGAGGGGAGTCCAGGTGAGGATACTGGGACGAGGTGGGGGTGGGAACTTCCTCTCTCCCATCTCCCCTAAGGCTTTCCATCCGAGGCCAGATGGGACTTTCTGTCCCCTCCTCCCACCAGCCAAGCCAAATGCCCCCTGATCATTTGTAAACCCCCTCTCCCCCCCCCCCCCCCCAAATCAAGACCTGTGTTCGTGGCTTTACCTCCCTCACAGGGATGGTGAAATGTGAGGTTCGGGGACAAACCTAACAGGGCTGCCGAGGGCCCAACCTGCCCGCCCCAGCTCCCTGGCTCAGGGGCCCTGCCTGGGCCAGGGCTCACCTCCTGCACTCTGGGGACACCTCCTCAGGCCTGGGCTCCCGGCCAAGTCTTCCAAATTCCAGGAGATGGACCGAGGCCTCAGAAAAGCCCTCTGACCCCCCCCCCCCCTCCTGTGCAATGACAGGCTCAGCCCCTCCTCGGCCTGAGCAGGTGTCACTGCCCCTGGCTAGGCTAGACTCTCCCTCGGGAAGGCGTGGGTCTCAGTTCTCTCTGTGTCTGGCCCAAGGCTGCATGTATCCCTACTGTGCTCTCCGAGCCAGTAAAAGGGAAAGATAAAATACATCTCAACTGCTGGCACACTGTCCTCACCCCCTTCAGAATCCTGCTCAGCAGGTGGGGGCCATGGCCCGGGCCCAAGGGGATGGTGGGCAAGGCCTTGAGTTGCAGGTCTGATCTAAGAACAAGCCAACTGGTGAGCCAGCACCATGTTCTGGGGAAATCCCCATCCCCATCCAGCTCTTGGGGTCTCAGGGCTCCCCCATGACAGCATCTTATCCAGGGAGCCCCAAACCAATACACTGTGTAACAGAGAGGTTGGGAATGTTTTATTTTGTCATGATATTAAAAATTCCCAAGATTTTCATTTTGTCATGACATTAAAAATCCCCATCTAATATCACTAGCACAAAAGGAAGTGTAATTTGCCCAGCCAGCATGGGAGGTCATGGTTCGATTCCCGGGTTTCGGGCTTGATTCCCAGTGCGGGGTGTGCAGGAGGCAATGGGTCAATGAACCTCTCTCATCATTGTTTTTCTATTTGTCTCTCGCTCTCCCTTCCTCTCTGAAATCAACGGGGGGAAAAATATTTTTAAAAAGTGTAACTTAACCCTAACAAAATTACAGAAGTATAATTTGATATTAAAAAAAAGTCAGAAATTTTAAAGTTAATATCTTTAGATCAGCAATTTTCAACCAATGTGCTACAACAATTTTAAAAACATGCACTACCCAACTATTTAGTCAGGGGCACTGACCTATTTTCCTTTAGATTGTCAAAACAAAAGTGACAATAGCCAACCAGTGTGAATGCCCTTTCTTGAACCATATAGGTCATATAATAGAGTTGCATATTATTGATCACATTGCATAATAAGGTTGCATCTGATTAGTTAATTCTTGGTGCTATAAATCTTTATATATAAGTATAGGCACCTGATTTTTTTTTTTAAAAAAAGTCACTTTGGAGCAAAAAGGGCATCAAAATTACACCTATTTTGGATGTATTGGGTATATATGTATATTTTTGGTATGCCGCAGTATTTTAGTAATTGATTTATGTGCGCCATGAGATGAAAAGGGTTGAAAACCACTGCATTTAGATTATAAGAAATTTTCTTATTTCTTTCATGATAGACCAATGAAAACTTAGTCCTAAAACTAGCCTGTGTGAACCACTGATTGAATCCAATGTCTTTGTGCCCGAAAGATGGCGCCCCTGGGTGCAGGGTGACTCACCTTAGGACATGCAGTAGGGTGCGGCAGAACGGAGACCAGAACTTGACACCTCAGAATTCTAAGCTAATGCTTGTCACATGATCTAAAGGTTTCAGAATTGCGATAGACTGCATTGAGGCAGACCTACATAGCTCTCACCACGGACTACATGTGTGGCTGTGGACAAGCCTCAGTCTCCCCATTTGGAAACAGGCTTATCCATCACTGAGTGCCTCACTCACACAGCCTATCTGTGGGTTTTCTGGAAACTCCCAGGAGCAGACACCTGGGTGCAGAAAGAAGTAGCCGGCTGTTTACTGGTCCCAGCACCGGCCTGACTCTTCAGAGACCAGGGATCCCCAGGGGCATTGGGAGTATGACCCACCCCCAGTCACCACCATGGGGGTTACATAGGACCGTGGACAGCAATGCCCTTTGGGAACTGTTAAGGTTTAGCTCCCAGCCTGGGTATGGGTATTCAGAAGCAAAATAATGAAGCAATGAGTAAATGTCTAGAACAAAGGTGTACTGCTGAGGCACTATTTCACTGCACACACATGTACAAACATACATGTGTGTATTCATATCTCCTGCAGTGTCTGACAGAAGCTGGCACGCTGTCTTTGAGTGAGAGGGCAGGCGCCCCCAAAGTGAAACAAAGCCCCATTCCGCCCTCCACACCTCACCTCCCATCTGCAGCCGGAGCTGCCACTCGGCGCAGGGGGACAGTCTCTTGCAGAAGATCTTTTTCTCCTCCTGGCTCCAAGGCTGCGGTCTAGCCATCAGCCTAATTAGGAACCAGCTCCTTAATTGCAAATAAATGCTGGGGAGTCAGACTCGAATGAACAACATCAAAGATGACCGAGCTCTGACCGAAACTCCTGCTCACCACCCCTGCTCGGGGCCTGGCCTAATTCCCAGCCAGACGCTGGGTCCCGGCCGGGACGGTTCCGGGGGGAGGAGGAGAGGAGAGGCGCAGTCTGGTGCTCATCTGCCAGGTGTCCCGCCTCCTGGCTCTGATCAGGAAGGCGACCTCCTTCTCCTGGCCTCAGTCTTCCCTCCGAAACAGTCAGCTCTAAGTTTCTGTGACTTAGTGGATGTTCACAGCAATTCTACTCATCGTCACCCAATCTTGGAAAACTGCCCAGATGTCCAACAGAAGAATGGATGCTACAGACTGCACATGTATGTCCCTTTCAAATTCACATGTTGAAATCCTAACGCCAGTGGGATGGAGTTTGGAAAGGTGGGGCCTTTAGAAGGTCCTGAGGGTCGTGAATGGGATCAGTGCCCTTACAGAAGGCATGCAGAGCTCTCTGACCCTTCGGAATGCGAGGAGCAACAACAAGAAGCCATCTATGACCTATTATAGACATGGGCCCCTACTACACACCAAATCTGCTGGCACCTTCACCTTGGACTTCCTAGCCTCCAGAACGGTGAGAAATAAATGTGCTACTTAAGCCACCCAGTCAGTCTATGGTATTTTGTTACAG